CCGGATTCTTTGTTAGCCAGGGTATATAAAGCGAAATATTATGCTAACTCAACTCTCTTTCAAGCTACTAAAAAATGGGGCTATGCTTGGAAAAGTATTCTAAAAGAAAATACTTTGATAAAACAAGGAGCTAAATGGTTAGTTGGGAATGGGGAAAGGATCCAAGTGTGGTTTGATCAATGGATTTCGACATCTCCATCATTTCCTCCAGCAGGAAGGGGTGTATGTTTGAATCCCAATTTAAAAGTTAAGGATTTATTCATTCCAGGAACTACAATTTGGGATAACGACAGGCTTCAAGCTTTATGCAATTGGGAAGATGTAACCTTGATACAAAAAATCAGTCCTTCCTGTGCAGGCACACAAGATACAATAAAATGGATTCATACAAGAAGTGGAGACTACACGGTGAAGTCTGGGTATAATTTACTACGCTCTCACAGAGATCAACACTCTAATACGCCCACAGCTCTTTATAAAGATCTTTGGACTGTTAATGCGCCTCCTAAGGTACAACATTTCTGGTGGAGAGCTTTGAATAATATACTTTCTGTGGGAAGTAATTTGCAGAAGAAGAGAGTATTAAAAGATAACAGATGTCCCATGTGTGGAGAGGAAGAGGAAACGGTAAACCATATGCTTTTTGATTGTAGAGTTAGTAGAGAGGTTTGGGAACTAGCCCCTCTTCTAAAACCTGATAATGGTTGTCTTGTCTCGAATAGTCTAATTGATAACTATGATCGATTCAGGCAACTTCATAGAGCAAATGATAATCATACACAACTATTCTTCTTCTTGTCATGGAGAATATGGAAACACAGAAATGAGATTGTCTTCAATGGAAGGAGAAGATCAGTTTCTGATATCATTAACAAAGCATTGATGGATCTTAGAGTATGGAAAGAAGCAATGGAGACAAATGAGCAATTTACTCTCAGTACTCAGTTTCAAAATCCTTCTCAACATCAAGTTCCAAGAACAGAGCAGCAGGTTATTCAGCAGGCTGAGCATCTATGTTGCTTTATAGATGCATCCTGGGTCTCCCCACATCAAGCAGCTAGAATGGAATGGGTTTTTGTGGACAAGCAGGAGCAGATCCTTGTCCAGGGCACGGGAGCATTAAAACCAATGCTGTCTACTTTGGAAGCCGAAGCGGAGGCCTTGAGGACAGCAGTTTTAAGTCTGGCATGTCTTGGATATGCACAAGTAACTTTCTATGGAGATACGCAACCTCTTTATAAATCTTTGCATGCCTGTAAAAAAGAAGAAGCATTACCGCATTGTCTTACAGTAATCTATATGCAGGATATTGAAAAAGTCTCTGCAAGGAATAGGCTTGCAAATGCAAAAGCGGATCACTTAGCAAAGCGGGCAAGGGATAGTAGCCAGGCTTATGTAATTAAATGGTCTTTGTGAACTCTTGTACTAATGTTTTCATTCAATGAAATACAGGTTGCCGT